CCTAGTGCCCCATTCCCTCATGTTCCCTTTCAAATCTCTGGATCTTTCTAGATAGTAGTGCCATGTCTATAATCTCTCTCCATGTCATCTGTAAAGCAGTCAGGCAGCAATTCTTTAGGACCCTGGATGTCTTCTCCTAGAATTAGATTCTTGCTTTTGGGGGCTGTATTATACTATTATACTTTAGTACTTTCTACATACCACTTTTATGGCTCTTTTCACAGTGTGTGGTTAATTAATTTTTTTAGAGGGAGGGATAATGTGTTTCTCTCTATTAAATAGTTTGGCATAAACAGCTTTGCAGCAGAACTCTGTAATTCCATTTTGGTTTCTATAGTGTCTGGCATATAGTAGCTGACTCAAAAATACCTTACTTAAATGCATGAAATTATACATTTAGGTATGAACATGGATGGCATCTGCAATAATTTAACAATCTGTTTTTATTAACAGAGTTATCTTTTCCCTTAGATTATAGGTTAACTATACTCCCTTCACTTGTATCTGTGAAACATGAGAACCAGAAACACTCATGATAAAAGATGACTCATGATTAAATCAGTGAGATTGGTGTTTGTAGACTGAATGACATTGGTGCATTCTAAGGTGGCATGGGGCAAAGAATGGAAGGAGAAAAAAAGAGTTCCACAACAGAGGTGTACTGAATGTAAAAGACTGAAATGTGCATGTGAAAATACATGTATTTCACATAAAAGCATTATACATCCAAATGCTAATATATATATGTATGTATCACACAGACATATAATACATAAAAGAAATGACATGGTTTGGCAAATTTTGTACCCTATCTTTCATCCTTAATTGTACAGACTTGAAGTCATTCTGTATCAAAGATCTGTTTCACAAACATATTATCTAGTTTGATATGGCACAGCATTCACTCATTCATTCATGTCTACCATGAATTGCTAGAGCACACACCAGCCCAGCACTCTGCTAAGAGCAGGGAATCATGTTTCTACCATCAGGCATATATTAGATCTCTGACTGCCAAGGAGACTCTGACAAGCTTTGGAAAAAGACACTGAGATGGAGGATAATAGACTTTGAGAAAGTTTTACTCCATGTGGAAGTGGTGGTGTTCTTGGATTGTTCATGGATTTGGTGCCTGCCAATGACATTCTCTTTTCCAAGAATAACCTCCTCCCAAAATCAGAAATGCTGGATCCACCTTAAGTATTTCTAAAGCTGCTCCCCAGGCTTCTAGAGTCAGCAGACCCAACTGTCAAGGCCTTTACTTGGGCAGAGCAATCGAAAAGGATATGTCATCTTTGCTTGATATTGAAAGAAAATCAACTGAAATTTCAGAAGACAGTGCCTGACAGACTACACATATTCTTATTGCAAGGACTGTATTTAATGTTTCATATAGTTTATATCCTATTAAATTCTTCTATTGTAGTAAATTACTGTTTATTCTATTAAGAAGAAATCATGGTGCCCATTTCTTTGAGAGAGGAAATAAAGCTTATATTCAAAGAATTAAAGAACCTTGCTAAATTGCTCAGCTGGTGTGATAAATTGATTTTATGGTATAACTTTATCCAAAATTTTACCAAATATTTGTTTCACAATAAAGACCTTTGGACTTGCAGACTTTTCAAAATGACTTTGGACAACACAGCAGCATATGCTTGTTGGATGCATTTCTACTAGTTTGTACTGGTCATTTATCCTATTCTGATTTATTTTTAAATAATTTATTGTCCAAAGACTAAATATGTGCATATATATTGAACTTCAAAATAATGATCTTTTCTTTTAGGTGTTTTATGGTTTTATATTTTGGTTTTGAACTTACCAATTATCGAGAGAAGTAGACCCTATGGTTTTCATTTTACTAAAGTGTGTAGTGTTGCCTGAAATAGTATTATCTACATCAAGGCACTGATTACTAACCTGAGCACATCGGTGAACATTTTTTTTCATCTTTGCAGATTTGTGAACCCAGACCAATATCTCGGTGTATTGGTCTTTAACATTTTTATAAACATTTTCAGGGTGATTCCAGAATATTTCTGGTCAGTCAGAGTGAAAGTGGCATGAAAATACAAGTTACTACTCTTCTCTTTAAATATAAGAGGTTTCTTGGATTTGGCACTGACCTTCATAGTTAGAATTACCTTTTATTTTAAGCATCTTTCAGGTGTTATATAGCTCTTTCTCTGCTTGATTCTGACTATATAACTCACATACTGGCCATGTGCTTGTCTGTAAAGCAACATGCCTGCAGACAATGATTTTATAGTCTACTGTGGTGTGAGTCTGCAAGTAATAAGATTTCATCAGACTAAGAGTTATACTCTCTTTTCTAAAATTGACTCAGACTATTCCTGAAATCTTAACTTAGCTATTTAACGTGCTTTGTAAAACTATTGCCAGAGGGCCACTTTCTTTGACTGTGTATCTTGTAAATAAAGTTTTATTTGCAGATCACTGTGTTCACTTGATTATATTTCTGTGCATACTCCCTTACAGCACTGAGCACCACTGCAGAGAACAAACAGCTTAAAAAGCCAAAATTGTTTACTATCTGGCCCCTTAAAATAAAAATTTGGATACACTGATCTATGCAATATGGCAGTTTGTAAAACTTCATTCCATAGATGCTCATGTGAAGGTTTATACTTTGCTTTGGGAAACTATTCTCATAACTCATTCCCAGTTCCTTTTTTGTGATGCTAATTGATTGATTTCAATAATCACCATGTACTAAAGCATTTGTAACAACCATACAACAAAGCCAAATATCAATCTTGCAAGATGAAATAATGAACTAAACATGTCTGGAAATGATAGACTCTAAAAGCAAGCATCATTTGATCTTTGTGAAGTTGCGCATGTTGACCTTCAAGTCTATTACAACCCAAACTTGAATAGTGAGAGGTAACTGGTACTAGTGAAGACTGAATTAAATTGTACACATGAAAACTCTTAAAATGAATTGTACAAATAGTTGGTTGTGCTTTTGCTGTAATTACTCTTCTCTCATTGGGTTGGAAGCTCACAGGAATTATGAGGGACCTCTCAGCCTCACCAGATGTCCAGAAGAGTTTAACAAATTCCAAGACTTGCTTGGGTAATAGCAAACAGACTAACAGCAGCAAGGCAGACAGGACAGGATGATGGTCAAGAATGGAAGAGATTAGAATTTTCCAGAATTTTGAGATCCCTTTATCTTCTCGGAGCAGGTTCAAAGTGCTCTCTAAGTCTTGAAGATGCAGACCTCTCAAAATCAAGCACTGAGCAGTCTTTTCTAGGTCAGATTTAGTTGAATTTTTCTATGAAAACTACCTTATTGTTTTCAGTATTGTTTTATTTCAGAGTGAGGTTTGTTTTTGTTTCTTTTTATAATAAGCAACAAAGATAGTCCTCTTTTAAATGTGAACATTTAACTCGAGGCCAGAAATGCCAAGTCAATAAGTCTAGATTTAAAAATTAGTCATATTTCATTCAACATTCTACAGCCTATGAAACTCATTGACACAGTCTATATGTATAAAGCACAATTCATAAACTTTAACTGATTTTAACATTAAGCATGTGTTTAAATCTAATAGTTTTACTATTTTTTTTAACTTTAGGGAAATGACAATTAAATGTAAATGCCTTTCCTAAACCAAACCAATGAGTTCAGTGGATTTTTTTTTCATGGAAAGTGAATAGGGCATAGACTGGAAAACAATTAGAACAACTGTGACCTATTATACTAGTTCATAAAGCTCTTAAAGACTGCAGCACCCACAAGGTTGTGGCATATGGGAGACAATCCCAGTCTCTAATTTCCATGTAACAGTAAGTAGTTCTATTACCAGACAGGCAAATGGGGTAGTCAGCAGACAAATAAATTACTGTAGCACAGTGAACCTTAAAAGGCATGCCAGAGTTTTCCACATACAAAATTAACATGTCCTAAAATCTTATTTTCCCCAGCAGTGTAACTGTGGACTCTTGGATGTGAGTGTTTAATAGACTCCTGGGCTTCTGAAGTCAATGCTACGCAGACACTCAGAAACACAGGCTTTCAGGGGTGATTTGGCTTAATTAATTTCAATTCTATTGCAATCGCTTTTTGTTTTGAGGGCCATACCTGGCGATGCTGAGGGGCTACTTTCAGTTCATTGTTCAGAGTTGTTCTGGAGAATCATGTGGTGGTGGGGTGGGGGTGTCAAAATCAGACTCCCCAGAAACAGAGCATGTGCTCAGCGCTTTGCATTATTTTCCCACTGCTGTCAGGGGTGAGATTTTAGTCACATCACAATCATGTGGACCTTCAGTCTTTAAAATACCTTCCCCCCCTACTTTTCCCCCAAAGGCATTTTATTTATTTGTTTGTTTTGGGGGCCCACACCTGTCAGAGCTCAAGGGTTACTTCTGGTTCTGCACTCAGAAATTACTTCTGGCAATGCTCATGGAGCCATATGGGGTGATGGGGATTAAACTAGAATCAGTCATATGCAAGGTGTTCTACTCACTGTATTATCACTAGCCCCTTGAAGTTCCCCTTTGAAAAATGTGCTACCCAGGATGCAATCACCAGTAACTGTCAACTCCCACCTTCAACTCTTCAAATCATAATTAGTAAATTTTATTAACAAACTACTTTATCAGCCAGTGTGCGTTTTTGTTTGTAGTGACTGAAAATGTTGCATTTCCATGTGGGGGTTCTTGTATAGTTCTTCCTTACTGATATACCCTCAACCTTTCAAAGTGCCCTAAAGGATACATATTCTATCTCACCATATCATTTGAGTAGAAGAACAAGGGCTGCATTGTGTAATGTAGTTACAAGAGACTCTTTTAAAAAATGAATTGTCTATTTGGAGACTGTGCAAAGTCTGACTTCAAAAACTGCTTTTCTTTGAAGTCAAAGGGCAACAGGAAACTGAGAGGAAGATGGTGACTCAGAGGGGAGGCACACAAGTAGCAGGCATGGGAGAACCTTGATATAGTCTGCAGGGTTCTTGGGCAGGTACCTGAGCTCTGTTGCCTACTTGCTCTGTGGATCCGATTTTGCTTCCCCGGAAATTGCTCCCGGAGATGCCCACCAGGCGTGATTCACCAATTCACCACCGGGTTCATTTTCTAAAAGAGAAAACAAAACAAGGTAATGAATGACTGAAGAGAGGATGTGAACGAGAATTCCCTCCTTTGTGCTATTACTTATAGAAAAGACAATATTTAAAAAGAGGTAAGAAATGTGTAAATGATTTCACTCGGAAACACTGGTTAGAAAAACCATATAGACTAGTAGAAAATAGTTTCCAACATTCAGTTAATCTACTTTTAAATCCAAAATTTTTAATATTTTTTAAATACTCATTCGTTTGAAGGTAAAACTTAATATTTAGATCAATCAATTTCCAGACAGTGTGTAAGACTATTTATTGTCATCTTTAACATTGATGTAATTGAAAGCAGTTTAATAAGTGAGAAATATTTTAAAGGTGTTAACTATTTCTTGGAAATAATGTGATTCCATTCATGACAAAACATAGTCTGTCAATAACAAAGGCATCTCCAAATGTTAGTTCAGTTTCATTTTTGTACAATAACAAAAGATATTGTCTTTGTTAATGTAAATTTAGAATTTATTTATCAACTTTCCATCAAGATACTCTGCAGTATTGTTTCAGTGTTAGAAACTATTTTTTATTGTTGTAATTAGAAAGAAAATACCCTGATTATTTCAAACCCCTTTGTCAAAAAGAGAATTGATTTTATTTTTTTTATAAAAGGAATTCAAATACCAGAAACTGAAGAGAACTAGGTGTCTCAGCTGTTGAAGCTATTGTTTCTGGTGTAAACCTTAGAATTCAAAGTCCCTCATTAAATTGAGTCTATGGCAATAGCAGACGAAGTGTTAATGGGCATCAGTGAAGTGCATCAGGCAAATGAAGAGACCCTAAGGGCTCTCCATGCTGTTTATGATCAGCTGCATTCAGCAGCATTACCATAAATCCTCTAAAAGATATTGTACTCTACTTCTTCCATGCTACCTTGCAATAAAGAAAGCATTTAGAGCGCTTAGCAAGTAGGATTTGAAATAAAGTAATATACAATTTCCTATGAAATACATGAGCAGCCTATAAAATGCTACCGTAACACATTTTATTATTTGTCTTAATAAGAATTTACCAAAACAAACCCATAAAGAACAGAATATTTTGGAAAATATACACTGGAAGTAGAAAGGTTTTAAAGTCATTCTGAAAACTCAAGGTTGAAAACAAAATGAAAGTTGACATACTTCGGGGGTATCTGCAAATTTGTACTCATAGTTTGCAGTTATTTAAAATATTTAATCTCACTGTGATTCAATTAAAAATAATTTTAAAATTAAAAATAAATACAATATTTTTTAAAATTCTGAGTTTTCGGTTTAAATTACAGCAGCGGAAAACCATCAAATTAAGAAATATTTAAGGAACTATGTGGCTTTGTAGCTGCATTATAAATACCTTTATCAATAATCAAAATATGCAAATGTATATATATTCACTCAACTATACTCACACATGTATACACGTTAATGTGCATTCATATCAAAAATTCTTCTCAACACTATTTGCTGTTAGTTGAAAATTTATTTATAAATTTAACTTTTATGTGATGAAGGTAAATACCCCCAGACAGTCTCAATTTAGATACCTACCTACCTAGAAATTATCTAGATTTAGAAAGAAATAAGCATCCTCCTAGGATTAACAACCACAGAAGCTCAGAAATCAGAGACGAGGTCAGGGACAGACAGAGAATTAGAACACACACATAAACTCCATATTTGGGTAGTCACAAGTAAAATAGACATTACTGATTCTGAAATAAAAACATGATAGATTAATACTACAATAATACCTTTCCATCAAACACAATTCAATACATGGACTGTCCTATTTTTGCCTTACTCCATGATGTCTCAGTCAACATTGCTATGAATATTTTTATTCATTAAACCTCTCTCAATCTGAGGTTATCTCTGACAAAGACTGAGATAAAAGTATTTTCATTCCGGGGCTGGACCGATAGCATAGCGGGTATGGCGTTTGCCTTGCACGCAGCCAACATGACCGACACAGGTTCGATTCCCAGCACCCCATATGGTCCCCCGAGCACCGCCAGAGCAATTCCTGAGTGCATGAGCCAGGAGTAACCCCTGAGCATCGCCGGGTGTGACCCAAAAACCAAAAAAAAAAAAAGTATTTTCATTCCGAATTATTTTTTACTTTTTTTTGTTTTTGTTTTTGGTGGAGTTCAGGGGAGGATGCTTCGGCCACACCTGGTGGTGTTTAGGGCTAACTCGTGGCTCTGTGCTCAGGAATACTACAATACTACTTTTGGTAGTACTCACAAGACCCTGTGAGGTGCTGGAGGTCAAAGGACCCAAGTCAGTGTAAGACGAGTGCCTTAATCCTTGTGAAATCCATTTCTCTGGCCTGCTTATTCCAAAATATCTTAACGTAAGAGTCCCTAGGGCCATGCTGTAGAATTTCATCTGAATTCTTGAGTGGAGAATTTTTGTACAAGGAGAGTGCCTCCATTTTGTGAACTGACTCAGTTCTCCTTTTCACATGTTCATAGTGAGTACACATTGTTAGTCTTTAATGCTGGCTCCAGTACCTCTACAAATGCTTTCTTGACTACCTAATTCTAGAACTGGACATCACAGATGGCAAGGGTGGTGTCATCTTTCCACCCTCTTGCCCTGAAATGTTCCCATCCACCCACAAGGCAAGAGGCAGCTTTTGTGACTTTCCTTGGAGCTGTCAGTACATGAAATTGTGGACATTCATGTTACTCTCTTCATTACTTCTTGGACGTTTCCAATTTGTAAATGATCTTTTGATTAAGTGACACATGTCTGTACCTCTTTGGCCATCTGAGTCATTTCTTTGGGGTTATCAACCAGAGGAAATATTTCTTGCTTATTTCGTCCTTCCTAAAAGTTCTACATAAAATTGATTAAAGATGAGGGACATGTTTTGACAGTACCTATTTTTCAGACTTACAACATTGAACAAGAACTAGACATTCCTCACAGGGCAAGGGTAGGAGAATAAATTCACCCCAATGGACAGATAGATAGAGTTGCAGGTGAGTTTTCAGGAACAAATTCAAAGATCCCTGAACTGGTTCCTTTGCTTTCCTGAGTCCATGCCTCGATATGCTTGAACAGAAACATGCTTTGTAGAAGTTCTTTAGCATATTACAGTGGTCAACTTTGGAATGCATAATAGTGAAAATAAAAGTTAGTGTATTGCAGCAGCCAGGTGGAGTGAGTGCAGTCTTGACCTGCTGTGCCTCACGAGTTTGGCCTTTCTGTTGGATTTCAAGTTGTCTACACCTATTAATAGAATGAAGATCTAACTGCCCAGCATCTGTGAGATGAATAAATTGTGCCATCTGGTATCTAGTAGGTTCTCCATTAGTCTTTCCTGCTTGACTAGAAGCATTATGCTTCCCTTTGTGCCAAATTAAGGATAGTTTAGTAAAACCCCTCACTTATATTCTTTGTTTTAGATTAAACTGAGGAGGATATGATTCAATGTCTAGTTGGCTCCAACATTTAGAACATGCATACATACTTCAAGTTCTTAAAGTGTGATTACTTTTAGAATATTGTTGATAAAACATATGAGAAAATATTATAAAAAGAAGGAAATAAATAAAACAACGAAATAAAGAAAGACAGAACATCTACACTTATTTAAACTATGCTTATTTTATTGTTAAATTCTTGTGTATTGCTTTTTTGTGTGTTTTGAAATCCAGACTCATTGTTTTTTGTTGTAAGGGATCCATTTTGCAGGGGCTAAAGTGATACTACAGTGCGAGGGCATTTTCCTGGCTTGCAGCTGACACAGGTGGTCTGCTGAGCACTGTCAAGAGTGATCCCTGAGCGTAGAGCTAGTAATATGCCCTGAGTACTATGTAGTGTGATCCAAAAACCAAAATGTAAAATTTTTATAAATTCTATTTTTCAGAGGTTAGAGTATAGCACACTTGCCTTGTATGTGGCAAAATTTGGTTCTATCTCCAGAACTTTTGATAGTTTGAACTCACTGGAAGTGATGCCTGAGGACAGAGCCAGGAGTAATTCTTGAGAACCACTGGGTTTAGCTCAAGAAAAGAAAGAAGGAAAGAAAAAAGAAAGAAAGAAAGAAAGAAAGAAAGAAAGAGAGAGAGAAAGAGAGAGAGAAAGAGAGAGAAAGAGAGAGAAAGAAAAAGAAAGAAAGAAGAAAGAAAGAAAGAAAGAAAGAAAGAAAGAAAGAAAGAAAGAAAGAAAGAATTAAATTTTTTAGCACTGGATTGTTTGTTTGTGGTTTGGGGGGAGAGTTTACAATCAAGTTTTCACTTCTTCCCCAACCATAATCATCAAAACACAGACTTTTAAAACTCAACATTCCCTGTAGATCACCTATAAAGATCATGCCAAGAGTATAACCTTGAATAAGCTTAACCAAAACCTCTACCAAGGAACCCTTATTTCTAGCATGCCAAGTAATAAGCCTGGCAAGCTACCAGTGACGTACTCGATATGCCGAACACAGTAACAACAAGTCTCATGATGGAGACGTTATTGGGCCCGCTTGAGCAAATCGATGAACAATGGGAGGACTGTGACCGTGACTTGCAATGACAGAAAGAGATTTTAGAATGGGTTCAGACCAAATAGTTAACAGATTTACTTTGACATAACAGAGTGGGAAATGGGATTCATGAGGGCTTCAACCTTTTATTTATATGTTTTGGAATATCACTCAGTGGTGCTCAAGGTTTACTCTTGGCTCAGCACACAGAATAACTCCTAGCAATACTCAGGGGATCATAAGTAGTGTAGATAATTAAACTGGGGCCAGATGTATGCAAGGCACATGCCTTAATATTTATACTACATCTCTGACCTCTATTTCATGTTTTTATCTTTAATGTTTCTAATTGTTAAATATTGATTATAAAAATCATGTAGTATTTATGTATCAAAAATTACATGCATAGTTATGATTTTATCACATGGTATTAGTTTTAAGTTTTTTTATCAATGGCTATAATTAATAAACCCAGATTACATCATAATTACAAGC